TTATTGCAATTAAAAATTAAAATAAATGATCAGAATATAAATAGATGTATAAAATGTATAATAATAATAATTTTTGTTTCGATAAAAGTCAATAATGAATATATGTATAGTTAAATTTTTATCGATAAATAATGTAGGTATTCATCACTTACCATTTTAGCGGAATTACAAAATTACAAGATGTAAAACTTTTATACGATGTACTTCAATTTGCACCTACAGAAATTCATAATGCCATTGTATTTGTGTGCAAAGATACTCTTATTTGTGAAACTGCGGAAGATGCAAGAATTTTTGCATACGAGCTCGATCCCCATTACAGATATAATGTAAGAATAAATATGTTAAACCAAACAAGCTCTTTTTAAATAATACCAGTAGAACACAAGATAAAATATGCATTTCTAGGTGTAAAGCGGATGATACAATTCATTTTTGAATTGCTTTATTAGAATTTGCTGCTGATTGTTATTCACTTAGTGTCATCTTGTAATATCGATAATATTTATAATGTTTTAGTGCATTGCGTTAGACGGAACTTATTACAGAAAGGATGGTATAATTTCTGGAGGACAAGCTGAATTATTACAGAAAGCTAAAATATGGGACAATCAAAATTTAATCGACTTAAAGTCGAGAAAGGTTTTTTTTATTGTATTTATATTCTTCACTATCCATATGGATTTTTTATATTAAATCTTACTTGATATTCGTTTACAGATAACGCTAAGGGAAAAATTAAACGAAAAGCTTACAATTTCTCAAACTGAATCTGAAATAAATACATTGGATATACAAATCCATGCTCTCACAAACAGATTAAATTATTGTAGGCTTGATCTAAGCGATTCTGCAAGTGTTCATTATTATTTCTTCTTAACAAAAGAGATATATATTTCGCTAACATATTTTTTATAATAATATTTTCATTATTTTAGAAAAGCAAAATAGTTACTCTCCACAATGAAATACAAATTATTCAAAAGGAATTAACATTAGTACAGGTAAATATTTGTCCTCTTGTTTCTAATATTTTTTAAAAGAATTTTTTCACTTTATACGATTTAATATAACTAAAAACAAAATTATCACAGTAAAATCGTGATCTATCAGTAATTCAAATATGTTATTTATGAAAATAATTTATATTTCTCTTTACCATATATTCTTTAGAATAATGTAACAGCAATTAATGAAATTATGGAAGAGAAAAATCAAGATATTCGAAGCGTAGAAGAATCTATTATAAATATTCAACAAAATGTTTTTAAAAAGTTTTGTAAAAAAATTGGTATAAAAGATATACGTCAGTATGAACAAGGAAACCTAAGGTGTTTTGATTTTTACATGTGAACACTTTAAAATTAGTGTATTTTTTCGTATTCCACGTTTAGTAATGGTATACTTTTCGACAGATTACATCAGGAACAAACAATCAAAACTCTAGAGTTAGAAGAGCAATATTCTCGTATTAAAAATTTATTGGATTTCGAAATGAGTCGAGATACAGAAAGTAAATATTTTTAGTTTATACTAACATTTATTACTTATTAATATGATATGTGAACATACAGTTTATTACTGTATTATACAAAGAGTATAAAAAAAATAAATACATAATACATATACATATAACTACTTACATTTTGCAGGACACCCAATTTATATCGTAGTTTGTATAAAATTAATTTTGGCAAATAAAATAATCTACTTCTATTCCTTTCGTGATTAATTTTCAGATTTATTTTGATTGGACATTTTTTATTCATTCCGATAAGCATCACGTTCTTAAATCGTTCCATTCTTTATTTAAATTTGAGAAAAATACATTTAATATAAACGAAATTTGTATTCTTTTTATAGGTTCAGTTTTTAAGATGGAAAAAAATATAAAAACAGCTAAGGATGAATTAGAAAAAGTACGTCAAAAAGAAGTTTTGTATAAAAATGATACTGAGTATGTGTTAAACAAGTTGAACAATTTAAAGACTGTGTATAATGAAGCCAAAATTAACGTGACTAAACAAACAGAAGATATCAATGAATGTAGATGTAAAATTGGTGTTATCGCAAAATCAATAATAAATGCTCAAAAAGAATTCGTAATAATTACAGCAAGAATTGAAAAGAAGAAAACAAAATGTTGTGATATCCTGAGAAGTATGAAGGTAAACATTTTGTACATAACAAATACAAAGTGCGGCTGAAATAATAATATAAGCAGAAAGGAAGTGATTCCTTATGTAAAAAGAAACGGAAAATGCAGAATAAATTAACAAAATCCGAACGTTCATAAATTTTTTTTTTATTTTTTACATTTTTAGTAACCATAGCTTTTTAGATATTTGAATAAATTAGTAATTGTAAGTCATTTTTGAGTTAAAAAACTACTTGTTAGAACATTATTTCTATTTTCTTTTCATTTTAAAATAGGTTCCAGAAGAAGAAAATTATATTGTTTGCAAGGGATAAAACAATGAACATAGATACGATTTAATTTACAAAAGTGTTTGCAAATAAAATTCTTTTATAAAAATTATATTACTAGTCATTATCATCTTTGATATTAAAATATTATATTTCTTTATGTTTGCAGCATACTTTTATTAATTATTGTTATGTTATATTAACAGATGGAAAATATTATTATTCCACTACTAACTAATGATGTCATAAATATTCATGAAGATGTACAAACATCTAGTACATATTATACAAGTACAAACACTGAAGAACTGCATGATATAGAAATTCTTTCTCGCATAGATTTTAGTATGTTATCTGAAGACATTAAAATTAGAGTAGAGGAAGAGATAGAAAATTCAAGAAGTAAACTCGTGAATAAAGTTGAAGAATTGCAAAACGAAATTTATTCCATAGAAAATCCAAATTTTAAGGTTTGTAAAAATTATTAGAATATTGATAGTTTTAGTATGTTAAAATATGTATTATTATTATATATCAATATCTGTTAAAGAATCTTTTATATTTCTATTACATCA